TTTGCAGTTGGTGATGATTGGGGGAAGGGGGAGAGATCTGACACATGGCTCCTGCTTTGTAGGATTGCTCAAGGGTCAGTACTTTTTCTGCTCCTATTTGTCACTTATTTGAAACTGCTGTGTCAAACATCCAGCTTCATGGGATGAGATATCATCAGTATGCAGATGATAGTCAGTTGGGTACTACTGCCTGTTTTGAATTAAGTTATGCTGCAACCACCTTTTCCTGGCTTTGAAGTCTAGAAGGGGAGCAACAGACTAAGACAACCTGGATGAGATGAAGTGACTTTGAGTTCAGAGCTCCTTGGTCCTTGGATAATTCCCATCTTTCATCATGAATGAAGTGTGCCCTGCCCCAGACAGACCCAGTATGTAATTTAAGGATTCTCCTGGACTTGCAACTTCTACTCAAAGTGTGACCAGGAGAGCTTTTACACAACTGCGAGAGGTGGGCCAGTTACACCCCTACTTGGAACAACACCTTGTCACAGTCATCTATGCCTTGATTCACTTCTCATTTGGCCTATTGTAATGCACTGTACATGGGGCTGTCTTTGAACAGTATCCAGAAGATCCAGTTGGTTCAAAATACATCAGCCTGCATAGTTTTGTGGAATATTTGTTCAGGAATCAACTCTTTTGCAAGAATTACACTGGTTATCATATTAAAATCCCTACATGACTTGGAGCCAGGATATTTGAAGGACTCCAATTAGATCTAGTGACCCACCAGGGGGAGAGGGGGAGGCAGGTATGTTGCAGATCCCATATACTAGGGAAATACATCTGGTGGGAGCAAGAACCTTCCAACGGTAGCTCTCTCCCTATGAAATATTCCCCCAGAAAGAAGATTGGTTCCCAATTTGTTATTTTTCCAGAAGGTCTTGAAGACATGGTTCTGTCTGCAGGCCTTCTCCCCCTGAGGGGGAGGGGCTATGTGGAGCCAATCAAGTGGTTGGTATAATTATATTTATCACTGCTGTGGGTGGGTGGGGTTTTATGATTTGGATTTTTTTTTAATGTTGTAAACCACCTCAATATATGTGAGTTGGGCAGCCATATAAATTTCTTTGATTAATTAGTTAACTACAGCAGTAGAAGAAGATCTACTTTTATTGAGTGCAGAACATTGGGATGTTCTGTTAAGTTTCATTATTTTATTTTGAACTCATTCCTCTACTGTGTACTTCATTTTTATTTTTATTTCTATTTTTAGGGTATTAACTGTCCCACTCAGTTTTGTATCGCCTGCAGGTTCGATAGGTATGCCTTCACCTTTTTCCTCTAGGTCTTTAATAAAAATAGTGAAGAATCAAAAGATCCAGGATTACTTTAATACAATTTTATGCCTCTTCTATATTCACTTAATTGTGGTGCCATCCATCCCACACTGGATTAGTTTGGTACGTACAGTTTCAGGAGGTACTTTCTCGAATGTTTTGCTGCAATCAAGATATATTGCAGTTACAACATTCCTTAAAGTCTATTAAGAAAATTCTCTGATCAAAAAATGAGATAAAGCTATTTAAGCAAAATGTGTTCCTGACAAACCAATTCTGATTGTTTGCAAATATCCATTGTTTTCAAATGCTTACAGATTATCTCTAGAATCCTTTCTGTTACCAGTATTATGTCAGACTGACTGGTACAGCTTACTGGATCTTCTTCTTCTTCTTTTAAACATTACTCTGAGTAATATTCACTCTCCATGAGTGAATACATAAGAATTGGTCCAAACCACCAGCTAGTTTTTATTGCTATTTGAATAAATAGGAATAATGAACACCAGCAACGGTATTGTTTTTGTTTGAACCTCTGCAACATTGCCAAGTTCTCCCATTTTTATTTCTGAACATTTTCTAGACATTTTCAGCATTTATCACAACTCTTCTTTTTCGGTTTCTTCTCATTTTTTTTTTTTTAACAAATTGTATCCTTCAAGTCCTATATTAAATCAAGGGAATCGTCTTAGTAAATCTCTTAAAATAATTAAGTCACATTTAATTTTCCATACTAAAAGCTTAGGCTTCTCTTGTTACTCCCACATGCTGAACCTTGCTGTTTAGATACTGAAAACTACAAGGTTTAAGAGCCAATATTCCTTCTGATATTTCACTGAGTGACCCATTTGTATAATTACTCTACTTTCTTCTATGTGCAAATGCTCATCAGAGATCCTACTTTCTGTTTCTTTATTACCAGCACTCACAGGATTTGATGTCCCCTTCAATCAAACTAGCAAGATTTTTTAAATATTTGTTTTAATCATTCTTTGTGAAATTCTATGCATCTCATGCCCATAGACCATCACGTGAATAACTCAAGCTGTTGTCCGAGGAGTCAAATCTTTTCTGTCAATATCATTTGTGTAGGTAGTCATTGATTTGCAATATTCCTCTTTCTTTTTCTTAGATCTCTTCCATAAACTGAGAATCACCCGAGTCTCCAGGGCTTAACCTTTCTTTCAAGGTTTTGTTAAAGTCTTTGGTGATATACCATATTTGTGGCTGTTCTCTGAAGTATTACTGGTCCCCAAATATAATAACAGAAAGGGAATAATTATACTTGAGAATTCCTGGAAGTCATTCTATTACATCCTGATTTTAGCTCCTTGCAGATAGCACATTTGACAGTGAATCCAGTATCAAACGGCATACTGTATATTGTCTTTCTATACATTCCTATAGGAGTGATTCACCAACCACTGTGATTCTTCTTTCTTATAAGGCACCTTCTCTGGCATTTAGAGAGCCAGTAACTCTCCTTCCCTTCTGTAACGTCTCTTTATTAAATGTAAAGAATATGTTTTAGCTGCAGGGGTCTAAATCTCTTTCTGGGTTGCCACAGTGAAGAATATTTTCTGCACCAGAATTATCCTCTTCTTGTCTTGTGGAGAATTGCATCAACTATTAGATTCTCTTTTCTTTAAACTAAGAAATCTTTTATTCTTTCTTATTAGCTAAACTATAGCCACTTGCTGCTGCAGTCCTTTGATTTTTTCTTTGAAGATTTGCATTACTACAAATATATGTTTGCATTTATTACAAATATATGACAGGTGTGTGTGCGTGTGTGTGTGCGTGTGTGTGTGTGTGTTTCTGATTAAAAAAGGAACACATCACAAGTATTGAAACTTCCAGTTGAGAACTCATGTCCACTCATCCTCATGTTTACTTTTTAAAGGATCACAGTTGGAACTGCATTTATTCTTCCCTGAAGTTGGCCAAGTAGAAAGTAGCTACTGAAGACACAACCTCTGCAGTTAGCAGGTATTCAGATTCATTCAGATGAAGCTCATCATAAAAAATAAAAAAATGTATCAGAACATCAGCTTTGTTCCTTCCTTCTTCCTGCTAAACTCCAATGTTCAACTTGTTCTTTAAAAGGGATTTGAAGGGCAGCCCAGGCAGTTTTAAATTATCATGAGCCAAAGGCAGGGAGGGCAGGATAAGTTTGGAATTGCTCTTGATGTCAGCCCTATAAAGTAGACCAGATTAAGAAACCATTGCCATATAGATATAAAACCAATTTTATTACTATAGCTATAGTAACAGAATCGTATACATGAGAATATGCTTCTCCTTCCCTCGCGTTATCTTCATGTGAATTACAGTGGTTACTCATATTGGTTTCTTGGAATGAACTCAAGCCCTTATGTTTCTCTGGATTAGGTCACCTAATCCAAACCATTCCCAACATGGTTAAACTTACTTACATTCACATTGCAGCAATTATTTTAAGAGCATCATTTGTACGCAAACATTTTGTGAATTGGGAATTTTTGTTTTGGGGTCCCTAAGTACAGCTTCATGCTAGTTGGCATTCTAGTTGGAATAATATAAGCAACAAAACCTGCTGATTTTACCATCTGGGGACATAATAAAAATAGATGGAATGGGTGGAAGAAGCTGTAGAAGACCTATGTAGGAATTGTGCATGAAGGAAATTCTTGAGGCAATAAAAAATCCCAGGGAAATGTTTTCCCACCACAGTCCATTTTTGTTCATTTGTATGTGAAGGCTTTAATTTTAATCTTCTGCTACCAGCAATAGAGTAGTATTGCTGGTAGTAGAAGATTAAAGAGTATTTTTTCCCTTACATATGTATTTGTAAGTAAAGATTCATGGGTTTTTAGTTGCATGCTTGTCTTACACAATATAGTTTACATTTGCAATACCTAAATCATACTAAGGCCAGACAAATCCCCTGGGACTTGGAAAATCATATAAGAAAAACTCTTATCTTATATTTTAGGAACAATTTCAGAAAAGTTCATCAACCATTAATTCTGTGAAGGAAAGATTCCCCCCTTTTTATATCAACTATTCGCAATCGTAATATGGAATTACTGCATGTTTAATTACAACATATATCTTAAATGTGTCCAAGCTTCAGACTGACTGACAGTGAAAACCAAATTGGAGTTGGGTTCAGTCACTATGCAGAAATGCTTTTCTATTTATCTGGAATTTGCCTGAACAATGCAATCTGTGAGCTGGGAGTTTGCCAAGGTTAGCAAGATTATCATCTTCTCGTTGCTCATTTTGAAAATCCAAAGTTACCAAAATTACAGTGATTTCTGTGTGGTCATGCTGTTTATCAGTAACAGAATGCAGAAACCAGCTGAAGACTGATGTCATTAATGCCCCATGATTTTTATTGCAGTGGTGTAATTATTAGGAAAAAAAAGATGTGGTTTCCTATGAGAAACCAAATGTCCAGAAAATGAATAAAAAATGTGCATCTTATATCCAAGAGATGAATGAACTACCCACCAAGTGTTTTCTTTCTTTAAAGAGAAGACTTTTTTATTAGAGCCTTAGCCCGTGTTTTTGAATGCCCAATAACAATGCATAAATACAAAGTATAGATTTATACTTAAATGCTACTATTTTAGTAAATCAGAAATCTCTTCCTTTGAATGTCTTCATTGCTGTGGCTTGATTGTGATCTTAGTTTGTGTTCTCTTGATCTTTCTTTTCTTTAAAAAAAAAACACAGCTTGCTGACGATCAGGGATTGGTTTTGATGACCACTGTTGCCATGCCAGTATTTAGTAAGCAAAATGAGACTGTAAGTATTCCCACAGTCATCGGCTGGAAAATGAAAGCTTTAAACTAGCACATACAGTATTTGAATGGCTTGATGAAATCATGGGTATTTTTGTTAAATTCTGCTGTTTCCCCATATATTTGCACTAGCCGTTGAAATAAAAGCACACATTGTTAATACGAATGAGCATTAAATACTGTTTGAAATATAGTGTCATGAATTCATGAAGCACAAAATTGAGAATGCTAAGCTCTTTATTTGCATGTTTATTGAAGCTTGTAAAAGGGAAAGGGAATATATCCAACGGGATATAAAACCTGAAAATTGTTATAAAAGTTTTAAAATTATGTTTCAATTACATGTAAGCATGTTAACTGCTCCTAGATTATTTGCATTATGTCTCAAACATCTGAACTAGTTATACACTATCTGGCTGTGTAAAAACTCTTGTCTGTAGTAGCACCCTGCACATATACACAATCAACCATACATATACATAAACACAAATGCATGCACTTTTATTTTTGTTCCTATAGAATTCTTTATTAGAACAAATGTCTGTACTTATGGTATAAAGTTGCCTACGGAAAAATAAGTTCAACAAAGTTTTAATATGTTTTGAACATTCTGCTTCATTTCTAACTTTTTAAACTGCTTTTAATAACTTCCCTTTGAGGTATCAGTTAGCAGGATCAGGCGGCTGGGGAAGTAAGTTGCATATTTCTATAAAAGGCAAAGAGAAACCAAAGTAAATTGCATAGTTCCATGCAACATTTTTCCACAATACACTTCCAGACTCAAAGGGTTTAATGGAAAGCACCCTTATCAGCTGAAATGTTGCACATCATTTATGCTTTTCTTTTCAGGATTAGGAAAAAATTGATGACTTTTGATTTTGGATATTTGGGTATTAGGCCCATGCAACATCTCCGAGAGGCCCTTTGCTTTAACTTAATAGTTCACCCAAGCTTCTTTTAGTGGGATTCTTCCAAGGAAGTCCCAAAGGTGCTTTCTCAGGAGGCAACTGAATTTTCTTGTATTTTTGAAGATGATTCGCTTATCATCCAAGAAATCCAAGGAAGAAGTCTTCCTTCCTGATGTTCTGTGGGAATTGCCACATATAGTGATGAGACTTGAGGTTGCCCAGGTTCACGTGGCCCTAGTGCTTAGACAGGCAGATTAACTACACAGGGATCCTTCTTAATAAAGGAAGAATTACTGCAATCCTTGGCGCAGTTTTAATCCATGTGGGATTAAATTGATTGGTTGAAACCTCTGGCTTTAATTGTTTATTGACCCAATATTAAATATATATTTATTTTAAAATAGAGATCAAAAGGCATTCTCCTGGGAGTTGTGGGCACAGATGTTCCAGTGAAAGAACTTCTGAAGGCGATTCCAAAATACAAGGTAATTTATCCATTTGTAAGCTGCTACTCAAAGTTAATTGAATGTGTAGAATTGTAAATAAAAAAATGGGTAGAGCTATGACCAAAGAAACACTTCTATGAAAATAATTGCTTTTACCACAAAAGAAAATTAATATAGAAGCAAACAAGTCTACTTGTACAAGCCACTGTACATTGTCTTACACAAGACTAACATGATTACTGTTGGGTTGTGATCTTATATATTATCTGAAGACATGTGCTCACTCTATAATGGTGCATCAAATTCTATTAAATTTCAGTAGCAGCAACTTTACTTTTCCAACTGACATATTGTTGGATGCAGTTCTTTGCCGGTCATTGTAATAGAAGCTACCTTTTCATGTAAAATAAAGCACAACTGTTGTATGAGAAAGTTACCATTAGAAATAGCATTCCAAAATGCTGTCATGGAATCCAAAAATTCTTTTCATACCTTAGATATGAAATCACATTGTAGTTTGCTGCATGGAAATGATTAGTCATATCCTTTAACAGAGTTTTGTTTTTAAACGTAAACTTGTTCACCTTTGGGCAGTTTTTCTTAATAATCTTTTCAGTTTCTCCAAAGATCAGCTTTATTAAGACTTCTATACTCTGTAAGCTTATCAGAATTCCAGTTGTTTGATATAAATGGCAATAACCTCATTCTGTGGACACTCCTGACATCACTTTTAAAATGTGCCTGATCAGGACAGGTGGGTTAGCTTAAAATCATTGAGCTAAACATTGTTTTAAAACATCTCATCACTTTTATGCTTAATCAGAGAATTTTAGAACAGAGCTGTATTCTCATTGTATAAAAATCCACAATAAAATAACTTAAAAAGGAAAAAAAACCCCTCCTCTCAGCAGGTTTTAGATCATTTCTGCATCCTGGGGGTAAAGCTGGGTTATGCAGAACATCTGTGAAAGCTATTAACAGTGAGTTTCCCACCAAGGGATGTTTTAATGACTGCACATCATTGATCTGAAGGTACATTTATTGCAATCAATGAGTGCATTCAGCTGTGCAAGAGAAGCATTGTCAAATATAAATGGGATTTTTAGTGAAATAGGTATAGTCTAAATTTGATTATGCGTAAACTTCTAGGGCTAATATAACACCACATTATTTTAGATTATTTCCCATAGCTCTCTTAGGTCTGAAATTGGAAATTTATTTTTATTCATATCAGACTATTGCCTTACAACATGAAGAAGAACAACTCAAAGGGGGAAAAAACAGTAAAAATTCCCATATAAATCTTACAGTGTTCCAATGGGAATATGGGAAAAACGTGATTGCCCTGCCACCCAGAACAAGCTCCATTGTTCATTTGTGATGTTGCATTCTGGAGATCTATGGAGTGTGTGTATTGGTGATTCCAGAGCTTCTATTCCAGAAGCCTGCTAGGTCTAAATAACTAGTCTCCATCATAACCTTCCTCAGGGTTAGCTGCTTAGTATTTATTATTGCCACTGCCTGTCTTCAAGAAGTGCAAGAGATAAATAAATCCAAATGTTGTCAGGAAAATAAGAGAGAAAGGAAGAGTTGAAATACACCAAACCTGGTTTACAAAAATGCAGGCAACTTTTTCAGTTCATAAGATCAAATGAAAATAAATCTTCTGGGAAACAGCCTGAAATTATATAGAATGACCTACCTATATCACAAAAGATCAAGAGGCAATAAGGCTTAATTAAAACACAGGTAAAAGAAGTTAAAGCTTATTACTTCTTTTGACAAAAAGCATTTCTTTGAGATGGTTTATTTCCCAGTATACTGAAATCACAGTAGACCTGTTTTTAAATTAATCTTCTCTTAATAGAGCACTAATCTTCAGTTGTATCTGTGTACACAAGTTGGGTCCAGTCAGCTGTTTTCTACACTCTATCTTCAGGCTGGGGGCGGGGGCTGCTGATCACCCTCTTTTTTAATTAGGCTACTGTAAATGTTAATAGTATTTAAAGAAAAATGGAACTAATGTTATCTTTGATGATGGGAGAGATAAAAGGCTTGAGAAGAAATCTTGAACTTAGGCTTCCGCTTCTCTGCAGCTCTAGAAGCCTAATGGCTTGGGTTCTTCCTGGCTGCTTGTCATTTTCTTTCCTGGAGGGCTTTAAGGGAGAAACTAGGAAGCCTGGTTGCCTGTGCTCTTACTACATCTCACAACTGTCCCCCTGGATCTCCCACTCACTCTAGGCTAGTGATTCTTGGTATGATAGAAATCTCTTGGTAAAGCAGGACATTCTCAACCCATTTTTCCCTTCTTCTGCTCTTTCTCAGGCTTTTCATATAAACGGTGTAGCTCTAATGGGTTAGTTTTGCTCCTTGTTTTTCCTCATTCTCTAAATTTACTAAAAGCATCTGTTACCCCACAAAATGTCAGTTCATTTTTTAAATATTTCCCACCACTTCTGATCAGCCCACCCATACCGCTTTGTGGGACATAAAGCAAAGGTTACCATGTCTCCCCTCTTCCTGAAAAGTTGATACGTGTTTTAAAGAGTTGCTTCTGGCGAAATGGATGGAATACTAGATAGATAGATAGATAGATAGATAGATAGATAGATAGATAGATAGATAGATAGATAGATAGATGGATGGATGGATGGATGGATGGATGGATGGATGGATGGATGGATGGATGGATGGACGGACATGTAGAATATTTCGTAGATGTTCCCCCACCCAGACTGCTGATATTTGGGGGAAACCAGAGGGTTCCACTGGTTGCTTCCTTTGTTGTGCACTCAGTTTTTAAGGATAGAGTCATTTACCTGCCATATTATTGAGCAAGAATAAAGTCTAGCCTTTTGGGAGTAAATGTTAAGCTGGCATACTTTTATGCCAGTTTAAGAACTGATAGATGGCATTTTAATGCAGTGAGAAGGAGTCTTAATCCACTTTAATCCAAGGCCACTCAGTATACTTATTACTTCAGGCCTTTCTAGTTTTGCAAACCATCCTTTGCCTCCATCCTATTCTTCCATGATTCATATATTGCCCTTTAAAAAAAATAAAATTTTCATATGCTACCCAATAATAACTTTATTTTCTCTTTCCTCTCAATTAATTATTTTAAAATTATTGTTTTTAAATTATTCACTCTTTTTCTGCAATTCTCGAATGCTTTAGGTCAGGGGTGTCAAATTTGTGGTGTCACATCATCACGTGACCTATCACCACTTTTTTTCCCCTTTGCTAAACTGGGGGTGGGCATGCCCAGTGTGTGATGCATCTGGCCCACGGGCCATAAGTTTGACATCCCTGCTTTAGGTTATCAACTACCACAGGCAGCTCTCTTTTTCTGGGAGGTGGACAAAATGGTTTCTAGGACTTTTTTGAATTTTAGTATCAATGGATACTGATAAATTCACTCAGAATGTAGAATGTTGTAAGGTGACATGCAGTGGTTATCACCTGTTAGGGTCTAGTTAAATATTTCTCCTTATCTTTGTATAGGATTCCTTTTCAAAGGTTACAGATAGATTTCAGATAATCAGAGTTGGAAGGGGCCTTGTAGGTCATCTAGACCAATCCCCCACCCAAGCGGAAGACCCTACACCATTTCTGACAAATGGCAGTCCAATCTCTTCTTGAAAGTCTCAACTGATGGCACTCCCACAACTTCCGAGGGCAAGCTGTTCCATTGGTTGATTGTTCTCACTGTCAGAAAGTTTCTCCTTGTTTCCAGGTTAAATCTCTTCTTGTTCAGTTTCCATGCATTATTCCTTGTCTGGCCTATAGGTACTTTAGAAAATAGCTTGACCCCTTCCTCTCTGTGGCAGCCCCTCAAATATTGGGAGACATGCAACTGTTCGTTGTATGTTTTAGCCTCCAGTCCCCTAATCATCCTGGTTGCTCTTCTCTGTACTATTTCTAGAGTCTCAACATCTTTTTTATAATGTGGTGAACAAAACTGGATGCAGTACTCTAGATGTGGTCTTACTGAGGTAGCTGGCCACACTAGATGTCTCTGCTTTGACCCTTGTGAGTGGGCATGATAGAACAGAAAAAGTAATTTATATAATCAAAATATTTCTAGGTCACCATTAGGGAGAAAAATCTCAGAATTTATCATGTTGGTTTTCAGGAAAGGAAGAAAACTTAGATGAAAGAAGGAAACAGCTTTAAAAATAGAATATTAAAAAAAATATCCAATCCACTCTCTTTGAAAAAGGCTGAAAGTTAGAAAACACAAGTGACTAGTCGATGCAACAAAGGAACCAACTGTATATTTGAAGTGAATAAAAGGTCCAATTTTCAGGGAAGTTTTCTTAGAAAATCCCAGTGGGAAGCCAGGCAACATAATCTCCTGCTGCGATTGTGTTGCAGCTACTTCACCTGTTGCTTTTCAAAGGACGTACTTATTCCATGTGTTCTTGTTTTTGTTCTTCCTTGCAGCTAGGCATTCACGGATATGCATTTGCAATTACGAATAATGGATATATTCTGACTCATCCTGAACTCAGGCCTCTGGTAAGATCATGAAATACTCGATAAAGGGATTCCCCCCCCCCCCACGTGCACAATTTTTACCCCTTCTTGACATACAGCAAATGTAGCATTTGAAGTTTTTCAGAAAAGGACAAATCATTGCTTCTACAGGAAACTGTTTCAAAAAAATAGTTGATTAACGTAAATGCTACAGGGATTTCAGTATGAGATCCAGCATAAATGACAATGGGAGTTGTTTGGTGATTCAGACAAGTACAAGACGCAGAGCAAAGGACTCAGACGCCTAAAAGTATAGAAAGGCAAAGCCATAAATTGCAGCAATTATGTACACTTACATAGAAATGGAATGCTGTACTTCTAGTTAAAAGCCCCTATTTGTCATGTTTAAGTAGACTCTAATTTATAAATTGTAGAATTGTTCTACAAGCCCTCTCACTCCCCTCCCCCTTTAAAAAAGACAGAATAAGGATCCTTCCCAGGTTTCAAATAAAAAAATAGCAATACCTTTCTTGCTATAGTTGTTAAGTTGGTAGCCTGGTTGTTAAAACAAATCTGGCTTCCCCATTGACTTTGCTTAGGGGAACCCAAAAGGAGATCACATGACCCCATAAGTCAGTGGCCATGCGTCCAAATTTTAATCACATGACCATAGGGATGCTGCAACAGTTTCAAGTGTGAAAAACAGTCATAAGTCACTTTTTTCAATGCCGTTGTAACTTTGAATGGTCACTAAATTAACTGTTGCAAGTCAAGGATTAGGTGTATTCTCCTCTATTACTATTACTTCTATCTCTCAGTTAACTGACATAAGGACAGTTTTTGTGATGTGTCTGTTCTTTTGATATCTATTTAATAGTGGCATACACTTTAGTTTGGTGTACACACACACACACACACACATACAATAGATAGACATTTGTTAAAGGTTTCAACACCACCAAATGTTACTAAAAGAATGGTATTAAAGGATTCACTAAAATATTAGTTCAGTCCAATAGGATGGACACATAATGTAACATCAGAATTTAATAATAAATTAACAGAAGCAATAAGAATATTTATCAGAAGGATGCTTGCATATCATAAATTTGGAATCATTAGATTCTGTTGTATATGAAGCCATGATTGCAGCCTCCTTCCTCTAAACATTTGGATTTGGCTTCGTTAATATTTACATTTTAGCAGATTCAGTCAGGAGATTAAAAAATGTTATTGGGACACCCAAAAAAACCTGCCAAGATTTCCCCCATGTACTCCTGTGGTTCTGTTTTGAAATGTAGCAACACTGAGGAAAAATATTATATGCTTTTGAACCAGCTTATTGTAAAAAAAAAAAAAAAAAAAAGTTTTTTAGTACCATTTCTTGGACGTGAAGGACTTCAGTTGTTGCATCCATATTATGGAAGTTAAAGGTGAAGTTTCCCTGAAACCAACTAAAGGTCTCATGCAATCTCTTCATTAGCACAATTCTTCTCTCTACCTGTGTCCAATGCAGTCTGGGTGAAAAATGGCTGAATTCATGAACCCAGCTGACAGGTAAAGGAGCATACTGTATGTTAAAGAGGGAGGAAGCAACCAATCACACATGAACTCCATCTTCACTTAGGCTTTTAAGAGAATGCTACTGGTGACCGCAAGGGGCCAAATCATCTAGTTCTGACTTTGAGGCTGAAAATAGCTACTGGATAACCATGGGGAACAAACACACTAGAGCAGGACTGTCAAACTCCCAGCCCGCGGGCCGGATGCGTCACACGCTGACCATGCCCACTCCCGGTTTAGCAAAGGGGATAAAAGTCCCTATACGTCACATGATGCTGCTGTGATGATGTGAGTTTGACACCCCTGCACTAGTGCAATTCTCTGCATATACATGATTGTAGTGGCCACAGTCATTACTATGACATGGTTCCTGTCAACAAAGCTGGCATGAAAGACACAAAATAGAAAATATTGGTGAACATTATGCAGACAGTTGTCTCTGCAAAAACAAAATGGGATTCCTCCAGGTGAAAATGGGATTCCTCCAGAGATAGTGACCACAAGTGGCTACTTCCAATGTGGCTTGATCATGGATGAGTCAAAAGAAATATGAAGAAATAGCAGGAAAAAATATTGGTCACCAAATTGGTGCCATGGTTGGAGGCGGGTGAGGAATTAACAGAAAAGCAGACATTGAAGATCTTCTAGTGCAACTCCTGCTCAAGCAGGAAACCCTATGTCATTTCAGAAAAAATAGTTGTCCATTCTCTTCTTTAAAATCTCCAATGTTGGAGCACCCACAACTTCTGGAGTCAAGTCATTCCACTGATTAATTGCTCTAATTGTCAGAAAATTTCTCCTTGGTTCTAGGTTGCTTCTCTTCTTGATACAAGCTGTTATAGTAGAAGAGAGAATGGTTCTCAAACATTCTAGCTCAGGTCAGGAGACTTTCAGTATATTTCTGAAAATAAGCACTGTATGCAGCTTGGCATACCATTATGAATAATAGTTCAAGAGCCTGTTGCAACACTGTTATGCTCCTTGTATATCAAGTAAGTTCTATTTTTAAAAAAATTTAACAATTTGGCCAGGCTATAGAGTTTCTTGTTAAACAAACTTTTGACAAATGTTCTTCTTTTTAAAAAAAAAATGTCATAAAAGACTAGGAAATGAAAAATGGAATTTGAAGTAGGAAAGTTATGTTGTTTCTTAGAATAATATCCACTATGGAGATCAAGTCTTTGATGCTTTTGAGTTGCTCACAAAACCCATGACACAATACTAGCTTGTATGTCCTTAAACCTATTGAAATATGCAAATATAAATTTGAATTGGATCATTGCCATGATAAATTGGAGTTACAACAGAGACAGGGGTTCCTGTTCTGTCATCTTCTCTTTATTTATGGTTTTGCCATTATATGAATTAAATCTCATAAATTCCCTGTTTCAGAGGGATCTATGTAATATATTCTAACAATAATAAATGATCCAGGACTAGCTGGCAAATGATGTAATTCATGACAGCAAGTTTTTTAAAAAAAAAATAATGGGGAAAAGTGGTTATATTTTCTATCCTCACATCACTGACCTTTCTGGCTCATTACCATACACAATCATTCCACTAAAAAGATCACAGATAAATAAAACTATAAACTTGGAATTAAGAACTTTGAATTCACTATCTTATATTCTAATGCTATTTCTACTTGCCTAGATAAATTGGCCCATAAGTTGAAAATACACCCCATAAACATCATCTTAGGTGCAGTGTCTACACTGGTGCCTTCCTAATAGGTTGAGAGTAACTCTCCACTTCCCAACTCATAGTTGCTGGGAATTCTGGGAATTGTAGTTCCAGACCATCTGGAGACTCTCAGGCCATAGAAACTTCCAGTAAGTTATATTGCCCAGAGATGCTTCTGGCATGAAGATCTGTTGGTGAAATGAACTCCAATGATCCAACTGTTACTAGGGGTAACTAATGATGTGGAAATTCCCATTTGATGACCAACAATTTGTTTCTTTGTTTAAAGTGGTGCTGTGATTACTACAATTGTTTATTTCATGGAAATTGAATTTCTTTTGGCTCATAAGACATTATGTGTACAAAGTAATTGCGTCACAAAAATTGCCCTCACATGAGTTTGGTTTCTAGGATTTAGAGTACTGGATTTGTTTATGTTCCTTCCTTAATAAAAATATTAGTAAGACAGAAATGAGAAAAAAAGTAACATGCTAAGGGTAGCCAAATACCCATATCTTTTCTTCCTGAAAACACAATGCCAGTTCAGTGATTGACGTACAATTCCATTCTAATTTTTTTTGGGGGGGAACCAATAGGTACTAGGTTGTGGGGCTCATGAAGGCAATTTAACAATGCTCCTGTTTAATTATTTGGACACTAATGTGATACGATATGCTCAGGTCTAAAACAAACATCCTGCTTCATGATTTCCACATATGTTAACTTCCATCATTGCTTGCTGGTGGCCATACTGGATGGCTTCTAGTTGAATACGAGAAGTGAATTTGAAAAAAATCCTTGATTCTCTAATATAAACATCTATGGTCCATTGATGATATAATCTTTGGTAAAAATGGCTAGGCTAAAATTATTTCAGAAAAAAATATCTTTTTTTCAAATGGGTGTTTTTCAAAACCCATGTTGGCTATGGATTACTACAAGTGTTAGAATACAAGACAGCTGGAGGACACCAGATGGAAAAAGACTGCAGTTTTATATTCAGAAATCAAGTTACATTTTGAACAATCTTTCTGTTTATTTTTATACCCGAGAAACTAACTTTGTTGAAGATTTGGTCTCTGCTACAATTATAAACTGTATCTTTATATAATTATTCAAAGGAATCAATGTTCTGCAGATTACATGCTGTAATGAGGAAGATCTTTTGACCAGATTAGTGAAATGTAGTTAATGCACTTGTATTAGTCTCTATGCATCTGTATCTTCTATTATTGCAGAGGTCTCCAAACTTGGCAACTTTAAGACTTGGGGGCTTCAACTCCCAGAATTCTCCAGCCAACTGGGAGTTGAAGTCCCCAAGTCTTAAAGTTGCCAAATTTGGGGACCACTGTATTATTGTTAACTGAATGAATTTCTGTTCTCCATAAAGAGGATTCTTAGTGCCAGGGATGAACTGTACAGAATGTGACGTTAGAGGGCAGCATAGCACTGCCATCTATTACCATCTAGTGAGTCTAGCAGAGCCTTCACCAGAATCTGAACAGACAGAGCCATTATTCAAAAAACACACACACACACACACACACATCTTTAAATCATACATGTTTTGAATATATTGTGTTTATGTAAAAAGTGAAAGTTAAGACTTAAATTGAATGTGTTTCTCTTTACTGCAAAATACAGTATTATTAAAATGCAGAAACAAAACCCCACTGGCATTTTTTTTTTTAAAAAAGTAGCAATAAGGAAACAGAAACTCTATATGTTTTACTTTCTGCTACATTTAAAAGCTCTGCTTGGATGTAGTATGGAAATATTAACAGGAAATGTTT